AGACCTGGTGTTTTCCTCCTGCTGTTCCTGGGCCCTGCTGCTGCCCTGCTGTGCCCAGGGCCTCGATGGCTTTTTTGCTGCCAGCAGAGTTTGCAAAGTTCACTTTGAAACAGTTTCTAATTGCAAAATGAAGTTCTACAAATGGCTCTCAGTGCAAAACCAAAGCTGCTACCAAGGGGAGAGGCCCTGCTGCCCTGGTTTCCTCTCCTGGAGCAGGCAGACAATTTTTACCAGCTTGCTGGCATCATCCAGAAACTGCCTCCGATCTGGCTTTTAAAAATGCCTGCAATCATACCCCCACACACAAGGTCCCCAAGTGCAGCATCTCAAAAGATTCAGTAACAGTTTTGGGTGCAGATTAATACAAAATACAGTAACAGTATGAATCACCACAGAATAAATACTTTGGAGGAAAACACCAGGTCTGTTAGCCCCACCTGGAAAATGCTCCATTACCATTACAAATATATTTCTCTTTGCAATAATGACATCAGAAGGGCAGTTTATCAGACACTGTTTCTGGTCCACATTAAGAGCTGGAAATGAAGACAGTCTCCAAGTTATTAATACCTCATTGCTCATTGGGAGCAATCTGAGGACCAGGGAAATTGCTACTCCCATACTATTTTCCATCCTGGCTTCTATTCTAGCCGCGTTCCCTGTATTCATCACTTCAAATTTACAAACGGAGGCCACCATGTCCATCGGCTCCTCTGGAGAGTGGAATGCTACAGACCACCTGAGGAACAGGGCCAGAGCGTCTCAGCCCTCAGTAGCTCCAAGACCAAAGATGATTCTGAGACCCCCAAGCGTACCACCCCCCTGTTCAAGGTGAAGCCACAGATAATGGACCTGCAGCCAGGCGAGTCTGTGGACATGGTGCTGCGAGGCTTCTCCCACATCCCACAGGTGAGGTCCCCACCAAGGGCTGAGCCTGGGGAACCATCAGATCCCCTCCCCTGGGCTTGTTCCACAGTCCCTTGACATTTGCCTGGGGAAATGAGCCTTCAAGAAGCTGGTTTAAGACCACACATTTCTGTGGCAGCACCAATTGCTTTCCATGCTGGCCACCATCAGACCAGCTAAGGCTTTATTGTGATTCCACAGCTACCAAAACTATCAAGTGCTGATCCCAAAGTAGGGGTGGAAGGAAATATTGCTCTTTTGAGGCAAACAGTGTTGCATGCTTAGTCAGAAAAGAAGGGCATGGAAATAAATTACACTTGGACTAGGAGCCCAAAAAGAAAGTGAATTAAGTGCCAAATCGTTTATCTGGGGTAAACACAGATAAAACAAAAGCCATGTGAAGGGAGGGAAGTTCTCACAAGTGCCTTTTGTGGGCATTGGGGTGCAGTGTTACAGACAACTGAATGCAGAATAAATAAGCTGCATCATGGGAAGAAAAGGGGGCAGTGACCACTGTAACTCTGTGGCAGGAATAGGGCCTGTGGTGGGTGCTGAACCAATGCAGGGCATTTGCTGGTGCCCTGCCACCATCCACTGGTGACAAGTGACTCTTGCATGCAGGAGGTGCAGGAGTATGCGGAGTGTGAAGCTGGCATTGCAGCAAGCACCATGACGCAGAAGATAATAAAAACAATCATTACCTGTGAGTTTATTGATCCCTCTATAGAAGTATCAGCCAGAAAATTCTCCTTCCGGGTGGAGAAGGTAAGTCTCTGGATTGCATCCTGGCATTTAGCAGCATGGCTGAGAGTGGAGCGTGCTTGGTTAAAGCCCTTCTTTGCCCTTCCTGAGGCACTTTGTAAAGTGAGTGAAGATGCTTTTAGAGATGAGACTGGTATTTAACTTCCCCAAAGTAGAATTTCAGTTACAGCTGCACTGCCAAGTAGGTTGTGGCCGCTTCCAGAGAAATGACAGTTTCTCTGCTGACTGTAAAGGGAGGTTTTTGAGGATCCTCCAAGGCACGGTGATGTCTGTATACCAATTACACCGATGCTGTAGGGATGCTGGGTAAAAATGGAGGTTCCTGTGAATTCCTCAGGCTGACAGGAAAAACCCATCATCTCCTGTGTCTCTTTGCCTTCTCTGCTGCTGGCATGGATGCTTTATGGTATAGCTATAAGGTATAGCTCTGTGCATTTCCCTTGGCCTCACCTGCTTCAAAGGACCCCCAGACATCCTGCAGCTGCAGTGATGATAACACTGAGGCAGAGCAGGTGCCCTTTCATCTCTGGATCCCAACTCCAGCATTATCTTTCCCTCTCCTGCAATTTGTCTGAAAATGAGAAGATGTTTCATGATTTGGATTCTGTAGTTTCAGGCCTCTCCTCT